AACATCGGACAATAGACGTGTCGCGAGTCTTTCCCATAAAACCAAGCGCGTTCCGTGTATCTACTAATGGAGACTAGGTCACGGTGCTTGTCTGTCAGAATGATGTAGATGGTTTTGTGTCCATGTTTCAACTACATAGTACAGAAGGCTACATCACGATGCTGGTCCTAATGTAGACAATTGTGTCCATGCTTTGGCTAAATTTGTCCGTTGGCGCTAATTGTTCATGAATGAATTACTTAAATGGAATTGTGTTACTTCGAACATCCATGATGCTGTGTGCGCTTATTTGTCGATAATCTGTATAAGGAAAGCTCGGGTGTTAAAAACTGGTTGATTGGACACGTCCATCGTTCAATAAATAAAATAATCCTGGCTAGACAGCAATAAAAGGCCGAACTGCATCGTGTTCAGATACGGATCTGCCAGTTAACACAAGAGTCCTGGTTAAAATGACTAAGAAATACTATAGAAGGTGTAATAGAATTGAAATACCAAAGGTCTCTCCCCATCAACATCGAATTGAAAAACCGAAGATAAATCCCCATCAACATCGGATAAAATATACCAAAGGTTACTTCCCACCAATATTGAATTGTAATACCAAAATTTTCTTCCCATCAGCATTGTATTGAAATACTAAAAGTTGCTTCCGGTCAACATTGAAATGAAATACCAAAGGTTACTTCCCACCAATATTGAATTGTAATACCAAAATTTTCTTCCCATCAGCATTGTATTGAAATACTTAAAGTTTCTTCCGGTCAACATTGAAATGAAATACCAAAGGTTACTTCCCACCAATATTGAATTGTAATACCAAAATTTTCTTCCCATCAGCATTGTATTGAAATACTAAAAGTTGCTTCCGGTCAACATTGAAATGAAATACCAAAGGTTACTTCCCACCAATATTGAATTGTAATACCAAAATTTTCTTCCCATCAGCATTGTATTGAAATACTAAAAGTGGTAACATTGAAATGAAATACCAAAGGTTACTTCCCACCAATATTGAATTGTAATACCAAAATTTTCTTCCCATCAGCATTGTATTGAAATACTCTTCCGGTCAACATTGAAATGAAATACCAAAGGTTACTTCCCACCAATATTGAATTGTATCCATTTTCTTCCCATCAGTTTATTGAAATACTGTTGCTTCCGTATCATATGTTTATCTGTAAGTAAATACCGAATGTAGTAACAAGCAGTATCATATGTTTATCTGTAAGTAAATACAGAATGTGAGTTAACAAGCAGTATCATATGTTTATCTGTAAGTAAATACCGAATGAGATTAACCAGGCAGTATCATATGTTTATCTGTAAGTAAATACCGAATGTGAGTTAACAAGCAGTATCATATATTTATCTGTAAGTAAATACAGAGTGTGAGTTAACAAGCAGTATCATATGTTTATCTGTAAGTAAATACAGAATGTGAGTTAACAAGCAGTATCATATGTTTATCTGTAAGTAAATACCGTGTGATTAACGTATCATATGTTTATCTGTAAGTAAATACCGAATGTGAGTTAAAAAGCAGTATCATATATATATCTGTAAGTAAATACAGTGTGTGAGTTAACAAGCAGTATCATATGTTTATCTGTAAGTAAATACCGAATGTAGTAACAAGCAGTATCATATGTTTATCTGTAAGTAAATACCGAATGTGAGTTAACAAGCAGTATCATATGTTTATCTGTAAGTAAATACCGAATGTGAGTTAACAAGCAGTATCATATGTTTATCTGTAAGTAAATACCGAATGTAGTAACAAGCAGTATCATATGTTTATCTGTAAGTAAATACCGAATGTGAGTTAACAAGCAGTATCATAAGTTTATCTGTAAGTAAATACCGAATGTGAGTTAACAAGCAGTATCCTATGTATTATCTGTAAGTAAATACCGAATGTGATCATATGTTTACTGTAAGTGAGTTAACAGTATCATATACCGAATGTAGTTAACAAGCAGTATCATATGTTTATCTGTAAGTAAATACCGAATGTGAGTTAACAAGCAGTATCATATGTTTATCTGTAAGTAAATACCGAATGTGAGTTAACAAGCAGTATCATATGTTTATCTGTAAGTAAATACCGAATGTGAGTTAACAAGCAGTATCATATGTTTATCTGTAAGTAAATACCGAATGTGAGTTAACAAGCAGTATCATATGTTTATCTGTAAGTAAATACCGAATGTGAGTTAACAAGCAGTATCATTTTATCTGTAAGTAAATACCGAATGTGAGTTAAAAAGCAGTATCATATGTTTATCTGTAAGTAAATACCGAATGTGAGTTAACAAGCAGTATCATATGTTTATCTGTAAGTAAATACCGAATGTGAGTTAACAAGCAGTATCATATGTTTATCTGTAAGTAAATACCGAATGTGAGTTAACAAGCAGTATCATATGTTTATCTGTAAGTAAATACCGAATGTGAGTTAACAAGCAGTATCATATGTTTATCTGTAAGTAAATAAAGAGTGTGAGTTAACAAGCAGTATCATATGTTTATCTGTAAGAAATACCGAATGTGAGTTAACAAGTAGTAGCATATGTTTATCTGTAAGTAAATACCGAATGTAGTAACAAGCAGTATCATATGTTTATCTGTAAGTAAATACCGAATGTTAACAAGTGCAGTATCATACAAGCAGTATCATATGTTTATCTGTAAGTAAATACCGAATGTGAGTTAACAAGCAGTATCATATGTTTATCTGTAAGTAAATACCGAATGTGAGTATCATATCATATTTATACTGTAAGTAAATACCGAATGTGAGTTAACAAGCAGTATCATATGTTTATCTGTAAGTAAATACCGAATGTGAATAAAGCCCTTAATATCAATAAAGAAAATACCAGATAGAGCCCTCAATATCAATAAAGAAAATACCACATAGAGCCCTCAATATCAATAAATAAAATACCACATAGAGCCCTCAATATCAATAAAGACAATACCAGATAGAGCCCTCAATATCAATAAAGAAAATACCAGATAGAGCCCTCAATATCAATAAAGAAAATACCACATAGAGCCCTCAATATCAATAAAGAAAATACCACATAGAGCCCTCAATATCAATAAAGAAAATACCACATAGAGCCCTCAATATCAATAAAGAAAATACCACATAGAGCCCTCGATATAAATAAAGACAATACCAGATAGAGCCCTCAATATCAATAAAGAAAATACCAGATAGAGCCCTCGATATCAATAAAGAAAATACCAGATAGAGCCCTCAATATCAATAAAGAAAATACCAGATAGAGCCCTCAATATCAATAAATAAAATACCACATAGAGCCCTCAATATCAATAAATAAAATACCACATAGAGCCCTCAATATCAATAAAGAAAATACCAGTGGAGCCCTCAATATCAATAAATAAAATACCACATAGAGCCCTCAATATCAATAAAGAAAATACCACATAGAGCCCTCAATATCAATAAAGAAAATACCAGATAGAGCCCTCAATATCAATAAAGAAAATACCAGATAGAGCCCTCAATATCAATAAAGAAAATACCACATAGAGCCCTCGATATCAATAAAGACAATACCAGATAGAGCCCTCAATATCAATAAAGAAAATACCAGATAGAGCCCTCAATATCAATAAAGAAAATACCAGATAGAGCCCTCAATATCAATAAATAAAATACCACATAGAGCCCTCAATATCAATAAAGAAAATACCAGATAGAGCCCTCAATATCAATAAAGAAAATACCACATAGAGCCCTCAATATCAATAAAGAAAATACCAGATAGAGCCCTCAATATCAATAAAGAAAATACCAGATAGAGCCCTCAATATCAATAAATAAAATACCACATAGAGCCCTCAATATCAATAAATAAAATACCACATAGAGCCCTCGATATCAATAAAGAAAATACCAGATAGAGCCCTCGATATCAATAAAGAAAATACCACATAGAGCCCTCAATATCAATAAAGAAAATACCAGATAGAGCCCTCAATATCAATAAAGAAAATACCAGATAGAGCATATCAATAAAGAAAATACCACATAGAGCCCTCAATATCAATAAAGAAAATACCAGATAGAGCCCTCAATATCAATAAAGAAAATACCAGATAGAGCCCTCAATATCAATAAAGAAAATACCAGATAGAGCCCTCAATATCAATAAAGAAAATACCAGATAGAGCCCTCAATATCAATAAAGAAAATACCAGATAGAGCCCTCAATATCAATAAAGAAAATACCAGATAGAGCCCTCAATATCAATAAAGAAAATACCACATAGAGCCCTCAATATCAATAAAGAAAATACCAGATAGAGCCCTCAATATCAATAAATAAAATACCAGATAGAGCCCTCAATATCAATAAAGAAAATACCAGATAGAGCCCTCGATATCAATAAAGAAAATACCAGATAGAGCCCTCAATATCAATAAAGAAAATACCACATAGAGCCCTCGATATCAATAAATAAAATACCAGATAGAGCCCTCAATATCAATAAATAAAATACCAGATAGAGCCCTCAATATCAATAAAGAAAATACCACATAGAGCCCTCAATATCAATAAAGAAAATACCAGGTCGAGCTCTTAATAGCAATAAAGAAAATACCAGATATACTAGATTTCATTAAATAATATGCCATTTAGAGTACTTATTATTAATAAATAAAATACCATAAAGAGTACACGATATCATTAAATAATATATGGTATAGAGTACTCAATACTCAGTAGACTGACCAGGCCCCCCCTCTCTCTCTCTCTCTCTCTCTTCTCTCTCGTCTCTCTCTCTCTCTTTTCTCTCTCTCTCTCTCTCTCTCTCTCTCTCTCTCTTTAAAAATTTGGCACATTCATATATCGTCTGTTACGATTATCTTGAACCTTGAAATGAACCCTTATCTTTTAAGTTTGTTTCTAATAAGAAATGCACATATACTGAGATCAATGAGAATATATACCTACCCATTCATCAAATAATTCGTGTTCCTTACTGGTCACACATTGCTCTTCAATGACACGATTTTGGGCGAAGTCTGGAAACTGGAGTCCAATAATGAGGCCAACCGCCAAAATAATGAGAGCCACAATAAAAATCCCCGCCCCGAGGATAACTGTCGAAAAATCTAGAGCCGGGGGGCGGGGTTCCGGCTCGGGATACTTCTCGTTCCACGTGGCCCTCGTCATAGCCAGATCTCACGGGTGTACAACCATGCTAAGCTGTCCACCCCTAGAGCAGGTCACCATCTAACACTGACGCTAAAGTCATCACAGCTCGTTATACATGTGGCGGAGTTCATTGCTGGGGTTCCAGGCATTCATAGCTAAATAGGATTGATTGTAACGGTGTTGACCATATGCTATCGGTTGTATCTGATGCTGTATGTAGATGTGTGAGACAGGTTGATAGAAGTCTACGGTAATGAATGTCTCTAATGAACATTAATTACGCGCCTAAAGAAGAAAGAAATAGACCAATTTCCTGATTACTGTCGACACTCCACGCCCCAAGTTACAGATCACATATATAATATCGACCCTTTACCCGGTATGATGTTGACAGGCAGGGAGGATGGTCCGACCAGCTCGCATGATCCAGGTATTGTAACTGCCGTTACCCCCGTAAAAATACCCTTACCACAGACAACAAAATATACTAACATTTAAATTTGTTGCTGTTAAAATTCAGAAATCTCCTGTCATCCCTAATCGTGTAGAATACGTGTACATGTACTGATATTGTGACCCAGTAACCAAGTTTTAATACATGTACTGATACTGTAACCCTGTAACCAAGTTTTAATACATGTACTGATACTGTATCCCTGTAATAGTGGAATACATGTACTGATACTGTATCCCTGTAACAGTGGAATACATGTACTGATACTGTAACCCTGTACCAAGTTTTAATACATGTACTGATACTGTATCCCTGTAATAGTGGAATACATGTACTAATACTGTATCCCTGTAACAGTGGAATACATGTACTGATACTGTAACCCTGTAACAGTGGAATACATGTACTGATTCTGTAACCCTGTAACAGTGGAATACATGTACTGATACTGTATCCCTGTAACATTGGAATACATACGCTGATACTGTATCCCTGTAACAGTGGAATACATGTACTGGTACTGTATCCCTGTAACATTGGAATACATGTACTGATACTGTAACCCTGTAACAGTGGAATACATGTACTGATACTGTATCCCTGTAATAGTGGAATACATGTACTAATACTGTATCCCTGTAACAGTGGAATACATGTACTGATACTGTAACCCTGTAACAGTGGAATACATGTACTGATTCTGTAACCCTGTAACAGTGGAATACATGTACTGATACTGTATCCCTGTAACATTGGAATACATACGCTGATACTGTATCCCTGTAACAGTGGAATACATGTACTGGTACTGTATCCCTGTAACATTGGAATACATACACTGATACTGTATCCCTGTAACAGTGGAATACATGTACTGATACTGTATCCCTGTAACAGTGGAATACATACGCTGATATTGTATTCCAGTGACGAAGTGAAATTAATGAAATATGATATCCGATATGTCTACATGATAACGGGAAGTTACTATATTACAAATAAATTACTACACCAAAAGTGTCGTGTTTGTCTGGGGTTTAACGTCCCCAAAGCGAAAGCGACAATGTGAAAACAGAACAAAATGATGAATCCGAATTCTGTCATCAATTAGTAAATTGTAATTATAGATTGTCGGATTACGAGTACAGGATTTATACAATAGCGATAGACTTGCTCGTGTAAGGTAGGGCATTTACAATACCGTTAAGCTAGCTTGTGTAGAAGTGACTGTTATGATACCGGTAAGCTAGCTTGTGTAGATGTGACTGTTACGATACGGTAAGCTGGCTTGTGTAGATGTGACTGTTACGATACCTGTAAGCTAGCTTGTGTAGATGTGACTGTTACGATACCGGTAAGCTAGCTTGTGTAGATGTGACGATACCGGTAAGCTAGCTTGTGTAGATGTGACTGTTACGATACCTGTAAGCTAGCTTGTGTAGAGGTGACTGTTACGATACGGTAAGAGGTAACCGGAGTACCCGGAGAAAGCCCGTGTGGTCGTTTAGGTAACCCTTCCCTTTTAACGTCCTTTCCGGGAATCGAACCCCGGACGGCAAAGTGAAAGGTGATTGCGTACCAATGCGCCAACCGCCACTCGACCACCACTGTGAAGATGTGTTTGCCACGCTACCGGTAACATAATTTGTTACGGTTACCGGTAAGATAACCTTTGTAGATAGCCATTGAAACGGTTACCGATTACCTGTAAGATAACTTGTGTAGATAGCCATTGTTACAGTTACCGGTAAGATAACTTGTGCAGATAGCCATTGTTACGGTTACCGGTAAGATAACTTGTGCAGATAGCCATTGTTACGGTTACCGGTAAGATACCTTGTGCAGATAGCCATTGTTACAGTTATCAGTTAGATAACTTGTGTAGATAGCCATTGTTACAGTTACCGGTAAGATAACTTGTGTAGATAGCCATTGTTACGGTTACCGGTAAGATAACTTGTGTAGACAGCCATTGTTACGGTTACCGGTTACCAGTAAGATAACTTATGTAGACAGCTATTGTTACGGTTACCGGTTACCTGTAAGATAACTTGTGTAGTTAGCCATTGTTACGGTCACCGGTAAGATAACTCGTGTAAATAGCCATTGTAACGGTTACCAGTCAGATAACTTGTGTAGATAGCCATTGTTACGGTTACCGGTTACCTGTAAGATAACTTGTGTAGATAGCCATTGTTACGGTCACCGGTAAGATAACTTGTGTAGATAGCCATTGTTACGGTCACCGGTCAGATAACTTGTGTAGATAGCCATTGTTACAGTTACCGGTAAGATAACTTGTGTAGATAGCCATTGTTACAGTTACCGGTAAGATAACTTGTGTAGATAGCCATTGTTACAGTTACCGGTAAGATAACTTGTGCAGATAGCCATTGTTACGAATACCGGTAAGATAGCTTATGTAGACAGCCATTGTTACGGTTACCGGTAAGATAACTTGTGTAGATAGCCATTATTACGGTTACCGGTCAGATAACTTGTGTAGATAGCCATTGTTACGGATACCAGTAAGATGACTTGTGTATATAACCATTGTTACGGTTACCGGTAAGATAACTTGTGTAGATAGCCATTGTTACGGTTACCGGTAAGATAACTTATGTATATAGCCATTGTTACGGTTACCTGTAAGATAACTTGTGTAGATAGCCATTGTTACGGTTACCGGTAAGATAACTTGTGTAGATAGCCATTGTTACGGTTACCGCTAAGATAACTTGTGTAGACAGCCATTGTTACGGTTACCGGTTACCAGTAATATAACTTATGTAGACAGCCATTGTTACGGTTACCGGTTACCTGTAAGATAACTTGTGTAGATAGCCATTGTTACGGTTACCGGTAAGATAACTTGTGTAGATAGCCATTGTTACGGATACCAGTAAGATGACTTGTGTATATAACCATTGTTACGGTTACCGGTAAGATAACTTGTGTAGATAGCCATTGTTACGGTTACCGGTAAGATAACTTGTGTAGATAGCCATTGTTACGGATACCAGTAAGATGACTTGTGTATATAACCATTGTTACGGTTACCTGTAAGATAACTTGTGTAGATAGCCATTGTTACGGTTACGGTAAGATAACTTATGTGTATAGCCATTGTTACGGTTACCGGTAAGATAACTTGTGTAGATAGCCATTGTTACGGTTACCGGTAAGATAACTTGTGTAGATAGCCAGTGTTACGGTTACCGCTAAGATAACTTGTGAAGACAGCCATTGTTACGGTTACCGGTTACCAGTAAGATAACTTATGTAGACAGCCATTGTTACAGTTACCGGTTACCTGTAAGATAACTTGTGTAGATAGCCATTGTTACGGTTACCGGTAAGATAACTTGTGTAGATAGCCATTGTTACGGTTACCGGTTACCTGTAAGATAACTTGTGTAGATAGCCATTGTTACGGCTACCGGTAAGATAACTTGTGTAGATAGCCATTGTTACGGTTACCGGTTACCTGTAAGATAACTTGTGTAGTTATCCATTGTTACGGTCACTGGTCAGATAACTTGTGTAGTTATCCATTGTTACGGTCACTGGTCAGATAACTTGTGTAGATAGCCATTGTTGCGGTTACCGGTAAGATACGGTTACCTGTAAGATGACTTGTGTAGATAGCCATTGTTACGGTTACCGGTAAGATACGGTTACCTGTAAGATAATTTGTGTAAATAGCCATCGTTACGATTACCGGTAAGATAACTTGAGAAATGTCATTGCTGATAAAACGTTACGTTTTCGCAAATGATGACAAAGTGTCCTAAATATCGACATTTTTTGCGACAGTTTAGGAAAGCAACTAACTCACTCAAATGAGATTTTAATCGGCTATTTTGGCTTAAGAAACATGGAACAATAGAATTCCCGAAGTTTTGATAAAGCAACTTGTGCAACCGGACTCACAAACCTATCAATTTTTACTCACCAACATGATACATTTTGACATCTTGACGGAGACTGTTAAAAGTATTGATCGTGATTAATGATTACCCACAACAGGTTACTGGTATACCGGTGTGTTTGTGTCCTGGAGCTCCTGGTTTGATACAGCGACACGTGACCGATGATATTACCTCCATGGTGGTGTATTACATCAGGTGCAGTGCAAAAAATATGGCAATTATGTGTGAAAAGTGGATGATGATTACAGTCTAAAGCCATAGATTGAATTATAGCAGGTTTCCCTCCTGTGATAACTGTTATCAGCGACACGTTTGACACAGTTATAACAACCTCGATAATAAAGCGTTTTATTGCCGCCGATGTCACGACTACTGGAATCGAAAAGAGTATGGACAGAAAATGACAAATATGAATGACTTGCAAAAATCATTGTTTTCAAAGTTTATTTTATTTCATGGAAGTGAACGTATTTGCAGCAGTCAGGATCATTTGATGCCTTGTGTTCATACGGATACCAAGAGTTGAAAAAAACAGAATGAAAAAGCAGACAGGAAAGAAAGGAAAAGGTGAAGAATCCAAGTGTTGTAAAAGGGACAGCAAATCTGTTTGGTTTCTTCTGTGTCGTTTTAGA